TTTCAGCGTGGCCTCTGATGCCTGTTGGTAATTAGCTGATTAATCATATCTGACGACTCGTCGCTTTATCTCAGGAGATTTCTGAACAGCATGCAAATGAGCCGGAAAGCATAACACAAAGTTTTCCTCTTCTGCCTTCCTTTCCTGTGAACAAGGATGGATTAAAAACCAAGAAGCGCTTGATTAGATTCTGACACCATATCTGCAGAACACGTGTCCTAGTAGAAAGCCGCCGTCACCTGCGCAGTTTACTATTGTCAATGCCGTCCGAGCTGCAAGCGCTACCCCTAAACTAATTGAAACAAGGTGCTCCATGGCCCCACTGATATCTGCAGCTACACAGTTCCCTGCAAATCCGCCAGAAAAAGAAGCTTGATTAAAATGTGCTTTCCTTTAAGGGCTTCATCAGTGCTGCATCCCACGGTGAGAAAATAGCTTTTCTCCCATACAAACAAGTTGTCAAGGACATTTTATCTCCCTGACACAGGTGGCGGGGGCTGGCTAACCGACAGGTGTGCTGCATATTACCCTGTCAATCTAAAAAAATTAACTTGAAAATGAAAACAAAAAGAGCCACTGCCGAGTTCATGCATATTCAACCAAATAGTTGAGCCTAGAGGTATTTCTAAATCTTGATTGTTTGGGCTTCTCTTTTGTCATTACTTTGTTAAAGTTGACTGCCAGCTAAAGAGACCACCTGGCTGAGCTATTGATTCTCAAAAAAACTCCTCTGAGAGCCTCTTAATTTCAGAATCATTAAAATATGACTTTTACAAGGAGAAAAATGCATGATTTTTTTTCTATTAACAGTTCAGCTTATTGAATTATTGCGAAACAGCATTAAGGCAGTTTCATCGTCACCTTTGTACATTGTAAAGAACATTTGGGAGGGGGAGGGAGAGATGCACGATTTAATGACTCACCAGCAAGTTTGTTAAGTCAAAACGTGTACATTGCCTGACAAGACTGCACCGAGTCTCATAGAAATTCAGAGGAAAATGTAATGCAACGCCTGAAGCTCATCTCTATTCTATCCCTCATCTCCATTAGGCCTTGATTTATCGAAACATCAAGCCAATTTGATGAAAATGCCCAGAGCCCAAATGTATAGTACATGTCAAGTTTTAGAATATCCAACAGCAGATAGATGCAAGAATACTAAATTTGGTCATATTTCATTGATTAGAGTATGGGTTTTAGTGAGGTTTTTCATATTAAAAGATTTTTTATTATTATTATAATAACCTTTAAGCAGGTAACCTACTTTTCACTAAGTTCACAATTTGTATTAGGCCGGGCATACATTGTGCAAGTTTTTCCCTTTTTGGGACGATTGTTCAGTTATACAAGAATCTTTTGGATCAGGACAAGTTTCAGCCTCATTGTGCGTCCTGCGTTCTGCAGTATACAGGGGGTAACGAAAAGCGATTAGCCTTTTTATTGACTACCTCCCGATCAGTAATCTTAATGTCAGGAGAAAATCAAACATGTTTTAATTTCAGTTTGCCCTCGTAAGGTGTTCGTGAGCAAATCCTGCTGTTGAACCAGAGCTACGAGCAGATTTACCGGAAACTGGAGAACTGCGCATGTGCAAACAGGGGAGTTCTTTTTTGTCTTCTTTTAGATTGAAGAGTCCTACCAGCGTCATCACTGAGTCTGACTTGTGGTTTTTGGAAGTACAGTGCGAGCAGGTAGATCGCATCAGAGCATCTGGTCGTACAGTAAAACATGCCTCATGAGCTGTCAACTTTTAAATCCTGCAGTTTCATCATGCAGTTTGAGCTGTAGCTGAGTACAACTATTGAAAATATCGTAGAGTTAGTTTTAGTCCCTCTATTGATCTGGTGTAACATACTAATCCTAAATATTGTGTTTAAATCAAAATCATTATAATTAACAAAAATGAATAAAACCATCTGTCTGTGTATAATTAACTTGTATATTAAGTTTCACTTTGTATATTGATTTAATTAGTTGAGATATCTTTGCAGTAATTGTATAATTAATTAAGCATGACTGTATAAAGGCATTAATTTTGCACCAGCAGGAAAGCTAAAGACAATAATGGACTGCCCCTGTCACTTTAAATCAAAAGCATTGAGCTAGACCGCTTCAGAACATCCAAAGCCATTTTTGAGCTGCTCTGCAATTTGATGGGGTACCGCGCTGGAGCTGAGGCTCTGAACTGTGCTTTATAAGGAGAGGCTGGCTGTTCTCCCTTAAACTTAACAGTGTTACTATGGGAACGGGCAACATGCTTTTAAGGCTTGTATGATACCCTTTGGGAAATTCAGAGCTCCTGGCCATGTAACAGTATAGAACAACACTTGGAGCTTGTTTCCAACCAGCTTATTACTTCAGAGGCTAGAAAAAGACGACCAGGTGCTATGTGATGTTTAATATTCAGGACAGGTCTCACAGCAAATCTAATTCTAGATACCAAGGATAGAGCTCCGTTAAAGGAAATAAAGGCAGCTTTCAAAGTTGCAGGCCAGAAAAATTACATACTAAAACATAGAAATGACAAAATGACAAAATACAGATTTAAATTATATTTGTCAATATGTGAAAAGGAGGTATATCAAATTCCCAATTAAAATACAGAGACAAAATTAGTAAATACCAGTAAATATCAGTCACCTTTTGGATACTAAGAAGACAAATCAAAAGCATCACAATGAGTGCATGGTTGTCATAAGCTAATGCTCTTAGAGTTAACCTGTACACTTGAGAAACAGTGAAAATGGGTTTAAAAATGTTCTATTTGGAATTGACTGACTACTGTTAAATGAAAACAAGTGTTTTCATGTAGAAAAACTCGGTAATAAAATGTGAATCTTTCAATTCGCCTCTTCTGTAGTAATAATTGTGCTTATTGGGTCTGCAGAACCCAAAGTCAGCCTCTGTCCATTTCAGCTCCGGTCTCTTTGAAGATCCAATCCATTTGGGTCCTGTTTGATTCTGACAAAGAGATTTTGTTGCACAGCGTTTGTTTGAAAACAAGTCAAACAAGCCTCTAGCAAAAATTATTTAAATCCTTCAATGATTCATACATCTCAGGAGGAGAAGTCTGAACAAGTAGTTGCAGTCAGCTCGGAAGAAGTGGTTTTACGTTGTTTTGTGCTTTGAAAAAGCAAGAAAGACGATTATAATACCTCGTTTTATGATTCTTAATTGTGTGATACGAACACATTCTTCACGAAACATTGCAAATGTTGCTTCCTCCTGCCAAGAACAAGGAGTGATTTCACAGATTCAAAATCCATTATTCCTTTTGTTTCACCTGATGCCAAAACAACCCGTGAGCCTTTAAACACTCAGAAATGTAAAATAATAATGATTAAAAAAAAGCTGACAAACTGAAAGTGAGCACACTCCAATCATGTACCCACGCATTGTTCACTTTGCTCACACAATACAAAATTATGCAGACAAATGAGGAGAATAACAAAGACTATTGGGATGGCAGCATTGTGGTTTGTTAATTTCAGCAATCAATAAAGAAAGGAGAAATGGAAAATTACTTTGGTGCATTTGCTTTGTCTTTTTAAGAGAGATATAGTGTGTTAAGCCCCTTTGCAGCAAGCTGGTCCACAGTGATTTACTGTTTCCGAAGGTTCTTTTAAAAGCTTGAGTTTTATTTTATTATTATTACTACACTTCTAAATTGGAACACAAAATGTATTTTATTTATTTATTATTTATTAGCCTCATCGCTGCAAGAGAAATAAGATATGTAAAGAAAGGCTGCAAAAGCAAATGATACTGTAAGGAACAGCTGCTCATTTCACAGGCGCAGTATTTCCAGAAACAAGAGTCAACATGCAAAGCAATGCAAGTTAGAACACGCTAGTTTCCCAGAAACCAAGCAGCTCAAAGAGAGAAGGAAAAAAGTGTTTCCAGTGTGGCCAGAGCAAAACTGGGACAGTCCCCCAACACCACGCACACAGCTGCTACCAATCAGAGGAAGATCCCCTAATCTTTAGGATGTATAGCGAGATCTTGTTTGTAATTGATAGCAGACGCTTTGTCGGTCTCCCATGGGTTAAAACCAAGAGGAACCACAGTGTCTGTGTGCCAGCAATTATGTGGCAGGGTAGGAAACTGAGTCAGTTTTGCTCAGCATTTTGTTTTCCCCGCAGAAGAGACAAAAGCAGAAGCTCAACGGCAGAGCAGGCAAGAGCAGGCCATGATCAATACAGTGTCCCTACCCAAAACCCAGAATTTTCTAGATGTTGTTTCAGGCGCTCATAATAGAACAGCATTAGTTTGCTCCCATACGTGTTTGGACGTGTGATGGGAGTGTAGATTTGTTCTAACAAGCTATGTGGAACTCTGATCCATAAACACCGAAAAGCACAGATGATTTGTGACAATTACCTGGTATGTACATGGGTGCAGCTTTAGTGCTTTGCAGAGAGATTCAAACATTTTGACACGTTGCATATTTGAATAACTTTGGATCACTTCAAACTCAACAATTTCTATTAAACTTTCTATTTTCCACTTATCTATAAAAGTCAGATTTGTAGAGTTTATATCTGTCCTCTAGGCAAATCGGTGCTTCTGCAGAGTTAACATATCATCTGCTTTTTCACATGTCTGACGGGATTTTTGGCTTGTCTGTCTGTTTGTTCCCTGATATACTAGCAAAACCTTGCTACCGTCGCAGAACAGCTGTATTTATTACACACTACTTACTAATTATGTAAGGGGGATGGGGTTAACTGAGTTTTAATGAGTATATAAGTAATTTTGGTGTTTATTCATTTATTATTTTCCCTCCACTTTACAGTAATGCACAACCTTGTGTTGGTTTGAAATCCAGCTGAAACAATGGAATCCAAAGATGCAATGTTAGAAAATGTGAAAAGGTTCACGGGACATGAATGCTGTTTCAAGGCACAGCATCCAAGTCTGATGGATCCTGTATTGACCATGTCCTGTCAGATTTATGGAAGAGCAGAAAGAACAGAAAGGACGGGCGTATTTGAACCTACCTGTGATGTTGACATCCACGATTCCAGTGCGGGTCCCGATGCTGTTGGTGGCGTCACACACATAGGTTCCAGCAAGATCATAGTTCACAGGCTCCTTGAAGAACAGGGTGTTGTTTTTGATCTCCACAGTCCTGGGTAGCGAGCCATTCAGCCTATTGTAAAGAAACAGTAAAGCGATCATTCAGACCACATAAAAAGGCAGAATTACTCCAAACCATAAAAGACAGAGGAAAAAAAAAAACATATCTTCAAGACATATTATAAAAATCTCTAGTGGTGAGCATCCCTGCATTTGGGGGTGAAATAAATACCAAGAATATTTGACAGTGATGTATTTCAGATGTCATCCATCAAGTCCTAACAAAATTATGAGGACAGGGAATCCCAGCAGGTCCTAACAAGTAAGAAATAGCTGATGCTGCAGGACAGGGGATGTGGAATACGAAACAGACAGTAGTGGTAAAAAGGGGGGCTCCTTTCTCTGCTATAGCTCAGCTCACTTGGCTGAACTTAAGACTCAAGGGAGCTGTCAGGAGAGGCAGCTGATCAAGTGATAAATGCACATTCTATCAAATGCCGGGGCTGTTAAAAAGGCTACTGCCTATTCCTCCTGCCTCAAGGTGTTTGTCTTTACGGTTCACTATCTCAGCTGTGCTTAGACTCGTCCGTGTCCTTTTGATCAGGCCAGCCCACTTTTAAGGTCACAGATCATGAACGCGGGAAACCCTCCACTCTATTATCCGAAGTCACTTTTCACGGCGCCCACAGGTTGAAAAGAGGTTTCGACTTTCGTGACCATTAGCCGTTTCCACCCAAAGAGCTCCATCGGCTGCTCTGAATGGACTCGGCTTAAGAGGAGTTACAATTGTGATAAAGCTGAATAGATCTCCAGCCTGAATGCGGTGACAATGAGGATGCTGGCTCCAAAGACATTCTCTCATAACTCCTTGGTCGCAGAGAGATAGAGACTTTGTGAGGCGCTGCTGTGCGAGAACATTAAAAACAATATGGTGCTCCATTTACTGAAGTGAGAGAAAAACAGTATGAGATTACAGAGAGAAAACAAAATTAGACCTCATGCTAACAATGGTCACAAATCAGCCACTTGAGTTGCACTTTTAACAAGGCTCATCAATGACCATGGCTGCGCCTGTAATTAAAGCATCAGAACAGTGCTAAATGGAAATAAAAACCTTGTAAACAAGGTTGTGTCAAATATGCCAGGCTAAAAATATTATACTTTTTGAGGCTCATTTTTAACAATCGCTATTAAAATTTGATATTACTTTATTGTGCATTTTTTTAACATCAGAATACTAAAAAAAAATACTGAAAAAATATCAAATTACACAGTTTTCAAGAGTGTGTATGAACCTTGTGGTTAGAACGCATATCACAGTAAAAAAGCAATAGAAAAGCTGAGCTTGAGTTGATTGTCCATTGTTCACCTTAGTGAAGCAATTGCAACAGGACCACAAACAGCCCCCAATACAGTATGTCACGATTCAATAATCAGTTAACTTGTGAACCTCTATCAAATGCTGAGTTCTGCAAAGCCCAATTGATTTGCTGCAGAAATGAAAGGCTTGCAAACCGCGATTCAACACTGGTTCTGCCATGACCAGCAATGTGTGCATGAGCTTGTGGATGTGTTTGTGTACGTGTGGCGGTGGTGATAGTGTGTGTATGGGCATGAATGGAGCCAGAGGGGCTGCAAAATAAAAGAGTAACAAACAGCTTGAGAGAGATACAGATTCTTTGATGACTGGCTGGGCTCTTCATGTATGCAGTGTCTGTGTATAGATGCTGGTTTGAGGAGGCTGTAAAAGCCTCACATATTGGTTTCATTAAACACTTTTTTCCAGGGAGAAAAACTACTACAGGAAAATATCTTCTTTAATCAAAGGTTAAACTACTATACAGTACATTGAACGGATGGAAAACATCTATATTAGCTACTACAACATAATTTATATTGAATATTCTTTTTCACAAAAAGTATTTGGACTACTCACAGTGCAAGTGTCATGGTAGATTCAGGTTATGACATACATACAGAGATTTTGGCAATAATTTTGAAAAAAATAAGTTTTTAAATCCAGGTATACGGTATATAATGTAATATAGGATAGTTAAAATACAAAAAAAACTTTGGTGCTGTTAATTTAATTTGATAATAATGCTTTAAAACTGTTAAAGTCTTGTCAGGTTTTGCTAATTAGTTGAATCAACAGAGCAACACAACAGGTCAGCTCAAGAACTACTTCCTTCTTTTCTTACTTCTTCAGACAAAGTATTGAAAAAGCGATGGTTACCACAGAAAGGGCAAATGGGAGTTTTAATGATAAAAGCTTGGGTTTTTAATCTAAAGACCTTTTTGATCCTAGAAATGCAAAAATCTAATTCTTTTGATTAAGATTTCCCTTCTCCTTCTTCAAACTGCCACCATTATGTTTTCCCTAAGCAGATAGAAGGAATATTCCCAATACCCCCCACCCCCAGAAAAAACATATTTCACTGAAGTTAGAAATTATGGCAACAGTCAGATCATAATCATGTTGTGCTCCATTTAGTTTTCTTGCTAACTGCCTTGCATTCTCTCACTTCCTGAATGAGTTGAAATTCTTAAATCAGTGTGTATTCTACTGGGATTATTCCTTTAATTATTGTTGATAACAGAAATAGCTATCGTGACTTTGCATTCTTTTTAAGGCATGGAAGAAGATCTCACTTATAAATTTTGATCTGGTCAGACCTTGCAGAAAATTAGCCTTTAGTGTTTTGGTGTTAATCTCTAATTGACCCAAATGGTCAGTATAATAGAACAGAATATGTTAATAAAAACATAATTTTATAAAGAAGGTATGCATCACATAAAAATCAGCTGAGGATGCAGTGGATATACGTTTCTTTTTTTGTTTCACACACAGGTTCAGTCCTCGTTCCTTCTTTTATCGGCGCGACCTCCTTTTGTGTCTACTAAATAACAAGTAGTAGTGGCCATCAAACCTTAAATCTTGATTAAATGACGTTTTTAACCTGGTAAATATACACTTCTCTTTTATATTATTTGACCAAAACAAGCTAGGGTGTGAACTGTGGCCGTTGGGTAGCAGCATGGGATAATTGTAGGAAGAAGCTTCCTAAAGAGAAGGAACTGTAGGGGCTGAAAAAAAATATAAACTCTTCATCTGAGACCCTGCGACTTCTCATAGAAATATTATCTATAGTAGCATATATAGATATACGTCAGATCAAGTCTTGCAGGTTAATTTGAGGAACGTCTCGCCATTAATTTAGGATAAATTTTAATCTTAAATATCTGTGTGTCCACCAGAAAGACCAGAGGCCATGAAAATAGTTTAGAAAGACCCCAGAAGAACAAACAAGTGTGGTGTTTGTTGAGCTTTAAAACTGTCTAGATACCAATCTAAGGATCTCATGGCATCCGTGAAAGACAAGTCTAATCCAAAGAAACCCCACCCTGTAGACAGACCTACAAGAATGTACTGCAGACGTCTCCAATGCTCCAGGAAAACTTGAAATATTGTTTTTCTCACAGTAATTTGTCAGAGCTTCTTCAGTAGCATGAAATGTTGTGTTACAGATGATTGCTGTGAATTCTTGCTACCATTTTCTTTGTCGGAGGGAATCATAAATAACTTTCCTTTTAATAGGAGAAGAGATTTCGTAAATGTAATCACATAGTATGGCATGTCTTCACTGTAAAAAAAAACATGCCAGAACTAAAAGAGAAACCTCTCGATAAAAGAAGCGAACATGGTGATCTATCCCCTTTGGCATTACCTCCAGAATGTTGTTTTTTTTTGTTTTCCAAGTGTGCATGATTACTCTTCTGCATCCAACAGTGTTTTACTCAAAGCCACAACCATAACAATTGACCTAATCCATAATGTTAGTGGAAACCTAAGTGCAGATTCTTTCAACAGTCTTGTAAGACATTTAATTAAGCAGCAAAACTGTTTTCAGGGGGAATACAAGCTTTTCATTGTATGACAAACTTTGTACTATTGTATTTGCCTCATGGTTCAGTCATGTACTGTAGGGTTTTTATGCATCTAGCTCACAAGACAATATTTAATGTTTTTTAAATAAAAACGAGGACTATCATTTTTTTGTAGCAAACAATTAGAGAAATGTTTAAAAAACAAGGAAGGGAATACTTTTTTGTGTAACAATCTTATATGTTAGTGCTGATAGTAAACTACAAAAAATACGCTCACTTCAAGGTCAGTTATTAGTGCACAGCATTGGTCATCACTCAGCTTCTGTTTTTTTTTCTTTTGATTTTTTTTTTTTTTAATGGATACTTAAAATATCCCCACTCCAATTTTTTTAAACTGACCAGAATTTCCTCATTGATTTTCTAACTCTTACTTTATTAGACAGAGAACAAACTGCTTCTATTAGTTTACAATTTGAGGAAATTCAAGTTATTTCTTTACTGTTACAAAAAACTATGTCTAAAATATGAGCGCTGCGTTACAAATACGTAAACATTGTATTAGTAGGAAAACAAATGTTATCAAATAGACCAATAGCCACATTCTAATTGTATGCTAAGATCAACTTAGCAGTTTCTAGAGATAAATTTGATTTTGTTGAAAAAGTCGAAAAACGTTGACTTTTTATTGTTGGACCTGATAGCAAGCAAAATATTTAGACTAAAACCTAACATGGTCTAATTTCTTGCTCTAAAACAACTGAGAAAAACACATTGTCTATACAACTCTATGATTTATAAAGCCTTTTATTACTTGGAGTGTCATTAAAAATCATTTCAACTGTAGGAGCTGTGTGAGAGAAAATCTTTCTGCAAAATCTGCAACATCTCAGGGGAAAAAAAACTAAAACTTTGTATATCTTAATATCTGTAACTGGCTCTAAATGGATTTACATAGAAGAAAACCACAGCTGGTGACAAACAACCGGGTAGAAAAGTACCATGAAATAATGAACTGGTGGGTCATCAAATTCTCAAAAACCATTTGATTACAACCGTCTAAACAAAGGGATCTAAAAAGTCTTTGTGGTCTCCATGACAGCAGAACTGGCTGTACTTTTTTAAACAAATCAGGACTTTAACGTCCTTTTAAAAGGCCAATAAGAATCTGTAAATTTCATCCACAGCTACTGGCGACTAAAGAAATTAACAAACAGTTGTCTTTTTGTGGCCTTTAATCAACATGACTAATAGAATCTCATTTTCAGCAAAGAGATAAGCAAGCCAGCTAATTAGAGCCGAGTTTGAAGTTATCACACTGTGAAATGCATTAATAACAAAATACAGATTTCTTGATTTATGCAGAGCTTTGTCTTGAGAAACGCAAAATGCCTTTAAGGATGCGATGAGGCTTTCTTGTCTGCTGGAAAATAGCTTTTTAATGAAAGCGGGGAAAAAAAGAAAACCTGAAATCTTATCACACAAGTACTTCAGTTGTAAATGATAATAAAGAACTCTTGTGCCACATTTTTTCATCTTGTGCCCACTAAGGAAATGAAAGGATGCCCTGAAAACCAAACTTTTTAAAAATAAATGATAAAGTTCAAACAGATCTTTTTGGCTGGAAACCCTTTTTGTGAAATTGTTCAAAAATTATGTTCAGATGGAAACCTTAATATCAGGATGTCTGCAGATAGAATAATAATTATAAGTAGGAAAAAGTACAGACACCCAGTCTAGCAGAAACATGAACATTTATACCAAAAACATTAGCTGTAATTAGAATTGGCTGCACCCCCTCATGGATGTGTTTATGATGCAGTTCTGCCACATCGTTCCATCACAGCCTTGTGCTGACCTCCATAGTGGAGCCCAGGGGGAACCTTCACAACAGATTTGGCTTCTCGTTTCCAGTGCGGCAATGGCCGTCCTCTCCGATCCGTCAGCCCTGTGCCCTCGTCTCTCTATATCACATCTCTTCACCCTCCCCCTCTTTTCTTCCCATCTCCCCTTGCTTCAGACAGAAAAAGGAAAATACATTTTCTTACTGTCTTGTTTTGTGTTTTCAGCAGAGTTCTTCCTCCGAGAGATATATGAATGTGCAAAGAAGAAAAAAGAAATCTGCACAGGTCTTATTAAAATGTCTTTGTTGTCTTTGGAGCAGATACACCGAGGCCACACTGGTCTATTAAATCACCTCCGATCCAACACTGTTACCCTCAATCTTACCTTCATGAAGCAATTAAAGGAAACATTTCTCAGTTCTAACACTGCTTGTCATACCGGGTTCCTGCAGCTTAAGGCAATTAAAAGTAAGATTTTTAAGACTTTATTATTGTCATTTGAAATTAAATTCAAGACCAATTTCACAATTATGACAAATGTAGGGGGTGTGAAAAAACATCAATAAAAGCTAATTAGGTCTGGTTTTTAAATTCATGAATTTAAGACTTTTTAAGGATCCACGGGAACCCTGTCAAAACTATCTATGTACTCCATTTTTTGTTCAGAAAAGGATTAATTAATTCATCTAACATAAACTATAGCAAATACTTCCATTTGCACAATGTCAATAAGAGGTTTCTAAACTCTTATCATAGGGATAAATTTCATTAGTAACGGGCTTTAAATAATGGATTCACGCCTTTATTTTGACAGGATTTAATGAAATGTCCATTAAATTAGAATTTATTGCAAATTTATACCGAAAAGATGCAGAGTAAAAAAAAAAACATCCCTATATATAGACAATGATTGCAAATGTTTCTCTTTTCAGTTAGCAGATGTACAGCTTGCTTGGGTCCAAACAGTCAGTCAGGCTGGGGGGAAAATGGAGTTGAATAAGCATGCATACACTTATTCTGCTAAAGTTTTTCTGTTTAAGAAATTGTCCACTTTTAACAAACTCGTACTTTACCGTTTAAGCTTGTTGATAAAAAAAATCCATGTTTTTACTGATACATTTCTTAAACAAATTTACACAATGTTTAGCAGAGGCTGAGGAAAATATTAAACACACAATATTGTTTACCCAAGTCAACTAACTAAAAAATAAAGTTTTATTTTTGTTATTAAAACATTAATTCTTTATACTTTTATATATATGGATTTACTACCTATGCGTTTTGTTATGTGACGCCAATATTCTGAGTGGTTATTTAAAATGTCCCCTATGTATGTATTTCTTCCTCCTCTTGCAGTGCGATCATGGCCAAATCGGAACTACTGATCTCAGCCGGTGTAATGGTTTAATCTACGACTTCTCAGCTTCAGTAGGCCCCTCAGCGTGTCAGGGATGAGCCGCTGCTTCCATGCCCTGCTGGGAACACAGCCGCGGTAACAATAATGCTTTCTCACTTCACTACCTGCATGCTGGCCAAAAGACTTCAAAGCAAAACTGCAAACACAAAGTACAAAGTGTGCACCGTTTGCATTTATCTCTCAGTATCTGTGACAATCAAGTAGACAGCCGTGTGTGTTGCTGCTATAATAGGCCCATTGTGCTCTGCTTCTGGTTTTATCTTCATTACCTGTTATACAACAAAATACGAGGCTGTTGCTTTATCTTGGATGATTGGTTTCTTGTGTATAAAAACGTCAGGAAAGTGCGCTTTTATTCACCATTCCCACTCTGTGAAATGACCCTCCTGTGCCAAAGCAACACCTTGACAACAAGATTTAGATTTCCCCACAAATCTAAGGTGAGAGAAACAACACGCAGCCATGCTACATCTTGTTTTCTGAGCCTTTAAGGGCTTCGGTGAGGGTAAGTCAGACTTACAGCTTCCACTGGTAGATGGTCACTGGGGGGTTAGCATCAGCCCTGCAGGTCAGCTGAACATTCGGACGGTTCAGGTACCAGTTTCCATCGAACCCTTCGATCTTCACCTCGGGTTCATCTGCAGGGAAGGCCCACTGATGTTAGGTTTTAGCACAACAACACTTAAGAGGCAAAGATGATCTAAAACAGTTACATTAAAAGACACATAATCCTTTTTTTCTCACTGACATTTCATGATAACCATTTTCGCTTTTAGTAAGTTAGGACTCCCCAAAAACTTTATCTATGTGCCTTATGTGTGAATAATACACAAGATATTTATTATTCAGTTTTATTTTTACTTTATAGAAGCTTATAAACATGTATCAGCTGCAACTAACAATTATTTTGCAAATCGATTAATCTGTCAATTATTTTTTTTTTTATTTATTGATTAATAATCAGATAAGGATTCTTAAAGAAGATTTTTTTTACAACATTAAACCAATGAGAAACTGAAACTTTTCCACTTGATGAGTTCTGGATAGAGTATATTGACAAATTTCTTTTTACAATATTGGTATAATTACTGCTCTAGGTGGGTTGCTCTGTCAGCTAAAGGCATGTTTATATGTCTATACTCAAGTTAACGATTAATCTATTACTAAAATAGTTGACAGTTATTTCAATAATAGATTAATCATGATTAATCCGTTTAATTGTTTCAGCCCTAATTTCAGCATTTGCTAGAATTGACTTTTAAACTGTCTGATCTGGATATAATGTTCTGGGTATTTTTTCACAAGCTTCTCACAATAGTTTGCTGAAATTATTGCCCATTTCTACAGACACATCTTTCTAACTTTGGTCAAACTCAATTTTAAACTCTTTCTCTATAGGATTTGATTAGGGCATCACGATGGCCACTCTAAAGCATAAACTGTGTTGTCCTGATAAAAGTTTAAAATTGATTTAGCTTTTTTTTGGGGGGGGGCACTTTTAGAAGATCAATTTAGCCCAAGCTTTAACTTCCTGGTTGAGTTGTTCAGTTATCTACTCTTATATAATGTTTTTTCTACATGACACTATTGTGAATGTGAAATGGATCCTTCTTTCAACTTGATACCATCTTTCGAAGTGTTGCTAGTTTCCTCAGTTTTCCATCCAAATTAATGATTTCTTTGAAAAACCACTGGACATTTCTGAGTGCTTTTATTTGTTCTATATTTTATGTATTCTGCCTTCTAATGTTCCTTTCAGCGGAAATATCTAAGAGTAGTTTATATGTGGATCCTAAAACCAGGACCAGCTATCAGCTTCACAAAGTCTTTTGATTGGATTTCTTGTAGGTTTTTTTTTACACGTTTGAACCAGATTGGTTTAGTAGTACAAATGTCTTCCTGATATATTGATTAATTTCCTTTAATATCTAGCAAGGCAACGGTATCTTTGTGATGAGATGTCAACAAACATGTCTTCAATTAAATGAAATTATGTTAACAAATGGTAATCAAGCCAAACCTACAAAACCTACGTTTGAAAGTCAAAGTAAACCTAGAGTACAGAAAGTTTTGGTTTAGAAGACAATAATAAATATTCTGTCATTTACCACAAAGAAAATATTTTAGTAAGATTAACTGACCAGAAACAGCAAATGCTGAGTCTGATTTGATGTCAAACAGTCAGAAGGGAAAAAAGTAATGCGTCCTTTTATACTGTGGATTTGAGCATTGGGTAATAGGAGCTGTAACACAAATGTGTCAAGTCTGAAAAAATAAATAATCTTCCAATCATAATGAAAGACTGTAGATTGCTTCAGCTTTTGCATTTCAGCTTTATGTCAACAAGCTTTGTGTTTCAGTATAGATTTTTCTCTGTATAAATGTTTAATCTGAAAGTGTCGAGTTGAAACATCAAGGATTTCAGCTGGTTTATTGCAAACCTCAGTGGCTGAAATCCCCCTAAAAATGGATCTTCCTGTTTACAAGAGAACACATAACTTTTACAGTAGCGAGTTTCTTACATTGCACATTGAGCACCACGCTGTCTGTGATCCGCTCTTTTTGGTAGGTTACGATGCAGGTCAGCTTCTGTTTGTGGGTCTCGCGGCTCGGGACCACCACATAGTTGCTCCTCACTGTCACCGTGCCGTTTGGGTTGCGAGTCTCCTGGAAGGTGGGTTCCCCCTTCAACCTAGTGTCCCACTTGATGACACTTGGGGGCTTTCCGTTGGCGGAAACGCAGGTGGCAACGGTCATTTTGCGCTTTTGACCCCTGGCCACAATTGTCGGGGCCGTCAGGGTCATACGGGTTGTTGGCCGAGCTGTTTGAGGAAACAAAATAACATTAGCACCGTGCTAAAAATCAAAAAGTAACAGATGATTGATCTTAACTGATCATGGTAGACATGTAGTGGATTGAAGAGGTACAGATACAGCAGGCAACATGAACCAGGATAGATTTAGTATTTTTTACAAATGAGTTTTAGAGCATAGAACAGGCTGGCACACTTAGACACTCTCTTTTATAAAAATACAGACTATTAAAAATAATAGCTATAGCATTCCATCTATAAATGCAGATATCATAAGGTTTAGGAGTTTTAAATTCATATAATGAGCACGATTTCTCTGTGACAAGCTATTAGTATTTAACCTCTGAAGATTTTGTTCTACCTAAAAATTCAACACCACAGATAAGAGACCTTGGACTGAAAGTGATAAAAAAAAAAAATATGTTATTATTTTTTAGAGCAATTCTGTTGTCATGCTTAAATTGAGATGCTATGCTTTTAGGATCCCTTATAATCTTTCGCCTTTGTATAAAAACAGAAAAACCTTGTGGTGCTTTGCCTC